TTATATAAATACAAAACTTTTCAGTGTACAGTATTATGATTATCGCGATATTTATTCATTATTACAATATATTATATCATAATCACATTTATTTATGATATCGTCGTTCGAAAAAAGTATCTTTTTAACGAAGATAAGCAATATCATGGATGCAAATATTCCATTCCTGTTTGCGTGAGCATTTCTCCAAAAGTTTTGACTCAAGTAGGACTACTTCCAAACAGATAAATACATGTGATACACCGATCATATCATAATGTACTCAGATGTGTTTGGATATAATCTAGTTACGTAAATCATTGACGTATCGTCCTCGTCATGCTGGCTATGATATCTATTATATCGATATCCTGATTAAACCGTTACGTCAGCCATATCACACAAATTTCCTGTGCTACGTCGATTCGTATCGCAATGCGATGTGCGTACACGGCAATAACAAGAGACAGGTAATTACTTAAGATCCAGCAAAACTTCCACTATATGTCGCACATAAAGATTTGTATAACGCACTGTCATAAAGAAACTCGTACATAGAAAGATTTTGTTGAAGCATTTAAAAATTTAGCTAAATACAGATTTAAAAATAATTTTATTAAACTGTCAAAATAATTGTGTAGGACACTCAAATCTGATTTTTAGAATATAAAAATTTTTTCAGTGTAGCTCATTATGCTCAAGTTTCTTATATAATTATTTTGATTGCCCAATAAAATTATTTTCAATCTGTATAGAGCTAAGTTTTTAGATATTTCAGAAAAATTGATGCGTCTTATGAAATGTGGCTGCAACTGAGCGAAATATAGTAAATCGACACGGGAATATGATACTCACTAGTCCTAGGATGCACGACTCAATAAAATATGATCACGCACAAATCTGGATTGAATTTTTTAATGGATTCTGATACATGTCTTCAGCGAAAGACAGAAGCGAATTAGAGCTTGAAGCGCAAATCTTCGATTCATCTTCGTCCATCAAGTTAATCAAGTTAATTTGTTGCACCGTTATCAACCAACTAGTGCCGCGTCTAATCTCGTAGTCATCATAACTAATGTAAACCGATCGATATGTCAAGGCAATACGACACGAGAAACTGCAGAGTGTACACCGATCCGTGTTTCCCGTATCGCTATTTTATTTTAAGTGTAACTTTTTAGCAAATAAGAATACATACATGTACATATACACACTTTAGTACAGTTATACGATAATTTCAAGTATGTTGTGACATTTTGTCGAGAGGAAATACCGCTGGTGGCATAACAAATTGTAGGCTTAACCGCGGCGTTCGTCTAGTTCCTCGATACATCAGCGATGTCGACGCTCTGGCCTTACGATGTGACACGGGCAAAAATACCACAAGGACGAAGATATACGAGAATACGAGAGAGCATGAGGAGGTCGTTATCTCAATTAAATTGACCGACGCAGATTAGCGATATGAATTCTACCGCGTTCTAAATTTAATGTCACTACCTAGCTGCGCCGCGGTGCAGAGAGTATAGCTTTGTTAAAAAAAAGAAAAAAAAAGGACAGTTCTGTATTTATGGGCGCGACAATTTTTCAAGCCGGAATTAAACGGCAAGCGAGACTATCGTGCAACGTCGCCAAGCGTTGCAGAGATGTGTCGGATCAACGTATAGCAGATTAATTTGGATAATAGTCAGTGTCAACATTGCTTCGATCATTTTACATCGTGGATATGCTAAATCTATGTGATATGAAAATGGAGGAGTGCGACAAAAAGATGAGACTTTAAATGATAAAAATAGAATGATAAATTTTTTTTTCATCGTCATCCAGTTCGTCGACGCTGAACTCGCTTACACATGTGCAAACGTTTAGGAGTTGTTGATGATGAATTTATTATGTTCGCCTAGTGCTATTCATTTATGGCTCGTTATTTCCTCAAGCGTAGTGACATGTTGCGATATGTGATGATTACCGACATTGCATGCAGCGCAATAAATTAATGGCTTTTAATTACTAATGGTTTTAAAGTAATATGAACGATATGCAGATGAAGATAATGGTAATAATTTTGATAAATTGTAATTTTATACGCATCATTATTTAACAGAGAAACTTTTTCCCGACATGCGAGCGACATGCAATTAAAAATGTATTTTTCATAAATAGACAAGCTCGCAAAAATAATCCACGTGTTCCTTTGTTGATGTGTTTCAGGTTACGAAATAATACGCGCCGAATATGAAGGACATTTAAAAAAAGATGAAAAAAAATCACTTTACCAGTGAGTTATTGTCTACACATATATGTCATATCTCAGCAATATGTCAACGATAAACACACTGACTAATATAATTATTTCTTCTTTTTTCCAAACTGCACTATAAGTGGAATATAACACTGATAAGAGGCCATCAATTTTATCAGCACTTTAACAACGTACTATATGTGAAGTGATTGTAATATAATTCTCGCGTTTGCATCGACATTTCTTCATATCTTCAATATATCCGTTTTACTTGCACTTGTGTCAATGTAACATTTGTGCCGTGTTAGAATTTTTCTCGAATATTAATGTCTCGATTCACATGTAATTTCATATGAAATATAAAATCGATGTAAAAAAAGAAATGTATTCATAATCTAATAATTACGAATATAAACATGAAATGAATGAGAAGAGCGACAGAACGGGTATGGGAAAGGCGCGCGTGGAGCACGCACCAATTACCATCTTCGAGATACGGTTGAAATGCAGCAGCATGCGATGCTGCTATTATGACAAAAACCTTCGTTGTTAGTAAGACAAGATAATTATTCCGCCGAGCTCGGCTCTTCGATCATTTAGGCGTGGCAACACATGTTCTCAGTTCAGCGCTATGCACGGCGTATATGCAAAGTATACCTATATACAGCGTGTCAGGACACGTGGGTACGGAACCTCTCCGGCTTGCCAACGGCTATTCATTTTCGCAACCCTCACCTCCGCCACCGTGAGGGAGGGATTCCTCCCTACACAAATTATTCGATACGCCTCGTGAGGCCAAAACGAGTTAACAACGCCTAACGACGACGCGTCGCACGCATCGTGATTTTAATGGCGAAAATTATTTACCAAGGGAGAACTGCCTTTAATACAACTTTGCAGTGCGAAATTAACCCCGATCGTAATTTCTGCAAACGATGACACTCTGTCGCGGTTAGCCGGCGAGAAGTTGCTTCGTAATCGCGCCGACAATGTCTCGCCTCGCGCGATCGTTACATAGTCAGTAATAAGGAATACATTTGTCGAGCTATGTATTATGCGTGTACGTACGCGTATACGTGTATGTGTGTAAAAGACTACACGTGAGAACTAATACATACGTGTTACTTGAACGTTCGATCATTAACTACATTTTACTTTACAAACACTAACGAATTACACTTCGAGCCAAAATAACATCAAGAAAAAACGCAAATCAGCCTATCGTTAACATACAAAGATGAGAAAATACTGAACATATCGAGAACACTATGACTAAGCTTATATACATACATGTTAGATTTAAAGAAAAAAATGTTTTTTTTGTTTACTATTACATTAAAACATCTATAAAAAAAGCTTTACATTTATTATCAATTTAATATACGTGTTGTCAGAACTATAATTTAGAAGAAAATACAGACGAATCTATTACAAGTTGAATATAAATAATATCGCGGTCATATCGACCGTAACTTGTGCAAAAAAAAGTGTCATGTGTTTTTCGGCCTGATATTTCTGGTTTTCTGTTCGTTATAATCGCTTTAGTGTAAAATGGAGCAAAAATATCAAATACGGACAGAAATTCTGGTAAAAACGATTCACAAAAATTTGCTCTATGCGCCATTCCTTATTATTGATTATGTGCCATGTATTAGTTTAACACAAGTTAGGGAGGAATGAAATACGATGTGTTACAAGCGCAGCGATCGGATCGTTTAATTATGCGCTCTTTGCTGATTCGATTACTTTCGTTTTACAATAGGTACAATATGTTTGTAAACAATACAAATGCACAATAAATAATTCTAATTGTGATTGGAAGATCAGTTTTCCGTATTTTACTGAAATGTTAAATGTAAGAGGAATGACACACACGACATTCGAGACGTCCGTTTTATGGCTCACTTATTTATCAACAAGGTTACTTCTTTTCGCTTATCTCTTGGATAATTGTCGATTTTTTGCTCAGTGGAACTGTTAAATGATTTTTTTTACAATGGTTCCTGATATAGCAAAATAAGTTAGCTCGAATCATTGATATTAATGAGGCGATCTCGGATAATAGCTATGACTTATCTGTCTGCTTATGTCTGTGATCATTGACTTCACTGCATCAATCTTATCGAATCACTCGCGCCAATCGATTACTTTTTTACGTATTCAAATGCTAACAGTTTTTAGATCCTAATGCACCACATTCACTTGCGAATATCTTTCTGAATTTTCATATTTTATTTTCAACACGGGTACACATTTAACGTCAAAGTGGATACGCTCGCTTTAACAGAAAAGTTATGCATAATTTTGAACATATGGAGTTGCTGCGAAAGTAAATAACACATTATAAACGAATAACAATTAGGCAAATACATATCAGTAACTCTTAAATGTTTACAATATGTAAAAGAGTTCAGCGTCAATGAATCAGGCGATAAAAAAATTTATTATATTTTTATCATTTATGTTAGTCAGTGCAGATTAATTTCAATTTACTTTTCTTTTTTTTCTAATTCTACAAATTTAAAAAAAGATAAAGAGTAATTAAATTGAACCGAGATTTAAAATTAATTTACATTGATGGAAGATATTAAATATTAAAGTCTTATTTTTAATTGGACTCTCTAATTTCTATGTCACATGGATGTATCCACGGTGTAAATGTGATCGAAGCAATATTGACACTTGCTCAAATTAATCTGCGGATTTTTCCTCGCAAGTGAACGTGCATGCATAGTTGCGAGATTTCTCCCGGAGAGTACGCAGGATCGAGAGCGCTCACCTGTAGATTTGGCGATCCTCGGAAAGAGAACTGTGACATGATGTGTCGGCCGCTCAGGGCCGTGATAATCGGGCACCGCTACGCGATCATCGTTCCAGAAGTCCGCGGCATTCGCCGTGTGTGCCTCGCTCCCGGACGTCACTTCGCGAATCGGTCACACTTCCGCTCTTTTTTCCTTTTTTTCTTTTTTCTCACTAGCGCGTCCGAGGCGAATGCTCACGCGAAGGCGTGAGAATCCTCTGTATCGCGTGTCCAGCCACCCCGTAACGGGGTGCTACTCGTGTCGACGGCACTCCCGTATGCCCGACTGGCCGTCCAGCTGCACTCGAACCGGTTGAAATCGGTGGCGGTCCGCTGCCGGCATATGTACTCGCACTGTCACACGCGAAAACAAGATGAAGCGCGAGGGCGACCGAGAAATAGTCCTCGGTAGCGGTTCTGTTGTTGGAACTTCTACGTGTCGTTGTTATCGTCGTCGTTGCGGGAGCACTCACGAAGCAAGTTGCGAAAGAAAGTGCCACGAACGACAGGCGATATATGGTCGTATCGCGGACTGCACGCACTCCGATCACTCTTGCGTTGGTTAAAGAGGGAAATGGATAAGAGTTCTCTTAAAGAAGGAGCGTGAGCTCTGTCGGGCACACCGAAGGATCACAAATTGCGGTATAAAAAAAAAAGGATTAAAGGGCACAGAGCGCGCAACAGCGATGCGTGGCACTTGTCGTAGTAACGCGCGATGCGGTTAGTCGCGAACGGCTAGTTCACTCCGTTGATCCGATCGACGCGCCAGCTATGATCGGTCGCGACTATCCTCCGAATCGTCGTTTCTTTTCGACGGAATCCAGTCCTCCGCTTGGTGGATAGGAAGGCGGAGGTACATGGATCGCGGGTGCGAGCGAGACGGCTACGGTGAGGGGGAGCGAGAAGGGTAGATGGGATAGAGAGAGGAGGGAACGAGAACGAGCGAGCGTCAGAGGGACGGGATGGCAAGCTAAGCGAGGGGGAGAGGGGCCGAGAGAGAGAGAGAGAGAGAGAAAAAGAGAGAGGTAGAGTGGTAGGTTGAGCGAGGGTGTCGGAGGGACACCGCTGAAAAAGGAGAGGAATGACGGAGGAGAATAGAGGGAAAGCGAGAGAGATGGAGATGAGTGAGAGGGAGAACAGCGAGGACGATGTGAATCGCGCACACCGGCCGTCTCTTTTTATCCTCCGTGATCCTTCCACGCAGCCGGTCGCTTCACGGCCTGCGCAATCACGCGCTTCGAACTCGCGAAAGAGAGGCTTGTGGTTCGTCTTTTTATTCCTCCTCTTCTTCTCGCTTATAGTGCCGATCACGGCTCCTCCGATCGTGGCGCTACCAGATCGCGCGCACTGCAAAAGCGCCAAGTACGAACTGTCGGCGGCGCGTGTTTCCACCGCGTGCACGCCCGCTTACTACTGACAACACACAACAGTGACTAGAACCAGACACTATACTGTTATTCTTGCTCCGTTTTACTAACTTTCTTCAGTTTGCCTATTTCTCTTTCTCTCTCTCTCTCCCTCTCTCTCACTTTGCTTCTATAAAGCTTCTCCTTTTTCCGTGTGATGACCAACGTAAGAATTTAACTATGTGTTTACTCGTTATCTTGGTATTCACTTCACGAAATTGTCAACAAAAGATGAGTACGCTTCACGTTCACTGAGTGCGATAAGCACTAGTCGATCCACTATCAGTGGGTCCTATAGGATCACCCGATTTCGCGTATATTCCTCGCTCGCGGTAGAACAAGCGTGGTCCGCGGTCTGTAAGTTGCCGCTGTACCCCACGTTCCGCGAGATGACGGTTGATCGCGGTGTCGTAGGAGGAGGCGACGGGTACAGTGCCGGTGGCGCTGGCGGTAACGATAGTATCACGCTAGTGGTGGTGGCCCGATGACGAGAGAAACGCTCGAAACTCGCCGGTGAGTCTAGTGGTGGTGATGGTGATGGTGGTGGCAGTGGCAGAGTCGTCGCCGCGGTTCTTTTCCTTCCACGGAAAGGGGGACGATTTTTGCGAGATGGTTTGCCCTCGGCGAGACGGGTGGGAGGGTCCAGGTCGGTACGGCGCGCGGTGTGGTGGGGGTACGGGCACCACCTCTGCCGCCGATGCCACGCTCTCGCCTCCACCTCGTACCCGCGCGCGAATTCGTTCCGCGGGTAGCTCTCGTATTAGCACGCCGGGTGTCGTGCGTGGCTCTCTTCTCTTCCCGCACAGGTCGTCGGCATCCTACCTCGTCGATCGGGCACGGAGCCGGCGGTTAGCGTCGGCAAACGCGACAATAAAATATGGTGAGTCGCCCGTGGGGCTCGGCTAACGCAGCTCTCTACGTTTCCCTCCCTTCAGCCGTCCCTTGTCGAGTCGGTGCTGGTGGTCGTCTCGTTCATCTGTCCTTTTCTCTCCTTTCCTCTTTCCGTTTTTTGTCTCTCACTCTTTCGCGCGACGGCCCGATAGTCCGCTCTCGCTCCCACATACCTCCTGATGCCCCACCGTAGGCGCTTTCTTCCCTCTTCGTTCTCGGCTTTCGTTCCCGTGTGGAGGGGATGGGTTGAATGAGACGGAGGGGGACGCTACCGGTCGAGATGCTGCCACGCTCCCGGTATGGTGGGGCGAGAAGAGTGAGCGGTAGGTAGCGCTCGGAGGGGGTGAACGGAAGGTTGGCGGACGACAGGGGTTGGGTTGGGGGGGGAGGGCACGGAGGCAGAAACTACACGACAATTTTAGTTCGATAGATCCCGAAGTTTAGCCTCGGCGGCGCTGCTTTACTTGCCGCTGACTTCTTCTCGGTAGTTTGTTCGTTGCCCTCTCTCCCGTTGCTGTCGACTGCCTCTTCCCCTCCTCCCCCTCGGACACGACCACACACTCCGACCCATGTCTCCCACCATCCAAACCCTATCGTCTTCTTTCTCTTTCTCTTTCTTTTCTTCTCCTTCCTCCGCGCGAGGACAAGATCGCCGACTACTCCGTACCCCTTCCTGTGCCCGAAGTTAGCTCTGATGCCACGCTACCTGCCACTCCTCCTTATTCTACGCACTACGCGACACTTGACTACACAAACTTCCGTTTCTCTCTTTCTGTCTTTACGCTCCTACATTCTATCCCTTTCTCTCGCCTCCTCTCTGTCTCTTCTTGCCCTTCGTGCTTTGGTCTCTCTTATTTCTACCTACAATCTCGCTCGTTGATCCCTCTCCCACCTGCAGAATCGTTCATCTCTCTTGCGCCTTTACATTGCGGAATGCACGATCGTCACTCCAGTGAGCGTATTACACGGACGGCGTTTACGCAGAGTACTATGTTCGTTCCGACAGTTTAACGCGACGATGTCGCGTGAACGTCCCGCCGTACGACCCAGCCGTCAATCATCTCGTCAGATTGTTACACCGAGATTTTTTCGTAATTTCGTTTCACACTATTCCTCTGCAGAATTCGGAGTAATCGAACTAGCGAACGGATGAAGCGTCTTTTTTTTTAACGATGCTCCAGTTGATTGCTCCATCCGATCAAGGCAACGCGAAAATGTATGTCTACGATATCTGAGCGGACACTAATGAAATAATGATGTTGTCCAAAGACTTTGGCGAGAGTGTCGTAAGAATGCTATACGCAATTCTTTCAAAAGAACTTGCTTCCTCGTGCGTACTTGTTCGTGTCTGTCCGATACGATCGCCAACGATAGAGGCGGATAGGAGCAGTTGATCGCGAAAGTAGTGGATCGCGAAAATATCCTATCGTCTACGTTGGTGGGGATACTTCGCGTGTGGAGAGGGAAAAAAAGGACTCGCCGATATTTTTCGCCCACTGATCGACGACGCGCGCACACGCTCTCACGTACCTGCCGGCGGCAATATTTTTGCAGAGGGCGCGTACACACACATATACATGCACACAAGAACGCACCCAGAGAGTGTGTTTGTGCTACGGTGGTGGACGCAGGGGAGAGACGTACTGGAGAGAGAGAGAGAGAGAGAGAGAGAGAGAGAGAGAGAGGTGCGGGATAAATCGTGCCCCTTCCACACTTCTTTCGTCTCCCCTCTAACGTGCCACGGTGGGTGCGGAGCTCGGCTTTTTTCCCCTCCGTGGGCGCGGACTAACCTCGCCCCGCCTTTGTCTCCTTCATTCTCGATCCCCCTCTACCCTTTCACGGATGGTGTTGTAGCGCGGCGACGAGAGTGACTACCGTTGAAACTCGTGACGCCGTCGCCTCTCTCTCGCCGTCACCCCGCGACCGACGTGTACGGCACGCCGAGCTACTGCTTCGCGCTCTTGCTCGCCGTCGGAGCGACAGAGGAACCTCATCGAGGGAGCGAAATCGCCCGTCGCTCAGAACAGAAGTGGGACGAAGAAGAGAACTGACCAGCGGAAGGAGGAGGGGTACACACCAAGATGTGAAACATTAGTGTACCGTTTGTTAACACCGCGGTCTACACACAATCGCGCGCAAACTCTCCCTCTCCTCGCCCGCGTCCGGCCCCATCGCCTCCCCCCCCCCATTGCTCTCCGCTTTCTTTAAGAGGGCGTTGCTGCTGGTACGTGCTAGCAAGGACAAGCGCATGTGAGCGCCTTCCTTCTTCGTGAGTTCATCGCGGAATGCTGGCACGTAGGAAGTATCTCTCTCTTTCTCTTTTTTTTCCCAAGTCGCTCTTTCTTCTTTTTCACGATGTCGTTTTCCTCTCCTCACTTCTTCTTACGCGCTTTAACTCCATCTTACCACCATCTTACTCACCTTCCGTTCGTCCTTACAGTACCGACTTCTCGCGAATGCTGAATTTGTCGTGCACAGAGAACGAGTCGACGTACTCCGCTTTGTACTACAACTTCGAAAACTAACCGATTTCGCGCATCGATATTAAATTTTCTGTGCGCGCGTGTGTTTAAAAGTCCATTTTGATTTGGCTCTTGGAACGATTTGTGGCGATAGTAGAGAACTGTAAAGGGTGACCCTCTTTTACCGTAATATCATCAAGATATTGACAATAAATCGAGGTAATATTACAAACATCATAGGAATTGGCTGTTCCTGACCACAATGAAGATCGAGTTGAATTGATATAGCAACTGCAGCATGTGCATTGTATTACATCGTACTTTTTTGTGATAAACTTATCAAATTATTGACTAAGTGATTCGCAAACATTTCAAACTGCATTGCGGGATTTTTTCTTACGCTCGTATCTCATCGATGTGCAGAAATTCTATTGTCGATAATCGCTATCGTTTCGATAGGTATAAATTCATTCTACCTTCATCTAATGGAAGTGTATCGAGCGTTAGCTATCTTGTGATCTTGTTGGGCTTCCATCGTCTGATCGTATTTAGGCTTACATTCTTTAAGTGTGTTATATGTTCTAGTGTATTGTCAAATCGTGATGTAATGTTATCGATAATAAGCTTAATCGAAAGTCGTCTATTACGACAGACACATTATCAGTATCGTAGAGTTCTTCGTAGAGTTTTATGTGGATGAATATTTTTTATCGAAGTCTGTGATTTGTGTTTTAAACCTACAATAAAGATTCAACGTTATAAGATTTGCAAAGGACATATAGTAATGATTGATTGATTAAGATTTATTTCTTTCGTATATTACAAGATGTGAATTTTTTAAAATTTCTTAAGTTATAAGATTTAACAGGAATAATTTTATATAATTTTCACAATTGTCAATTACACATGTAGACGATCCTTAAACAACAGTATCAAACATTTGTGAATGCATAATCAGCACGAAAGTGATGTAGACATTAAATAATGTTTGACAATTTGACGGGATAGACATAAAGAATGTTAGATGCGATGTAGATCAGCGATGCGTATCAGCGATGCACGCGAATGTGTAAAACATACCGCGGACACGTCGTACGTGATGACACGATACATACGTGTAAAGTAGACGTCCTCTTGCACGTGAATTGATCCACCAAGATCTATATAGAAGCTGTCAGTGTCTTGACAATAACCCGCAATTATAGATTGCGCGCGATAAGTAAAGTGCACGTAATACCGCAAAGCGAAAGGGACGCGTCGTTCGACATCAAGTAAACTACGGCTCATCATGTCGTATGTTCACTGACAACTCGCCAATTATTTGCACGGAACGCATTATGTGTATATTAATCGACATCGTGAAAGCGATTCTCCCGAGAAAGCGAACGGAACAGGTGCCTCGTACAATTTTAATACATGCAATGAAATTCATGTGCATCGATTCCCTTTATCCCAAGTCTGTCCCTTTAATCCTGCGACGACAGTAACTAAGAACTACGAAATTTTAAATAAAGAAAATCTAATTATACTAATATTTTAATCCAGTTACTATACGTCCGACTTATAAATCTTCAATCGATCATTAAAACATTGAAATCATTAAAAAGGGATACAAATATTTTTCTTCTGCTTATACTCGTGTCTTTTGAAATCTTTTTCTATCACAAATCCTTTTCTATCCTTACATGTATAGCTATTTTTTGCAGTAAATATCTATTTAAACCGAATAAATATCTACTAATAAATTGCCTTTTGCATTATCATACATAATTTATTGCTTTGTACCGAATTTCTAAAACGGATGATGTTCATCTGAAGGCAGATCATGAGATTCGATCCAACTGATTGTGATTTTGATAAGAACGGATCTATATTTTCTCACATAGACGTCATTCCACGGTTCGAGACCAGAACGACGATTTGGAGTGCTCGGCGACCAGTCATGGGCAAGGTCGTCGAAGCTGTTGGACAGGTGGCAGCACAACTCGACAAAGGACGGTTGTAGACCCTCCTCGTTGGCACCGCGGTGTAAGAAAAGTGGGGAGCTAGTATTACTAGAGAATCCAGTAGAAGGGATGCCCCTTCCACCGTGGCTATTTGATAGCCATCCCTCCATCCCGTCCGGAGGGACGAGCGTGAGGGGTCAAAAGGGGGACACATCTTCAAAGGTGTGTGCAGCAACGATTGTCACCGTGTTGAATTACCCGTATTTCGATGGATTCTACGAGCGAGACGATTTTAATGCTCGAGTCCCCGGTGCAACGAGGAAAGAATTATGGACGGGTTCGTTCCGTTCTCGGCAGAGTGCGCGAGCGTTACATTTTTGCGTTAATTCTTTGTGATAAAAAAGGGAGAAAAACATAAAAATCTCATGCTAGAAAATATACTCTAGTACATGTGTCGCTTCTCATTAAAGCGAATTTAATTACGCGATCGAGAAACTTAGAATCTTCTTCATGTCGCTTCTGTTTAACAAGCTGCGAGTGTTACGTCGTAGAATTAATAAATACGTTGTACATTCCATAGCTCTATATAGTTTAATTACCTATTTTTCGAAAAGCAGGAAGCAGGTGAACAGTATTAATTTCATGAGAAGATTGCGTGAGTTTATTTTTTACGCATGCTTGCTTTTTTGTAGAAATATTTTTGTTTAAACAATATATTACATGCATATGAAGTTCTGCTCAATTCGAGGAAAGATTAATGTTGCTTTTCATGACACGAGACTGTTTCGTTGTAATGAAACGGTGGTTAACACAAGGTTTTCCCGACCGACAATGACTCTCCGGATAAACTTTTATTAAGACCGCTCGTCTAGTGTAATAGCACACTGAGAGCAGACCCAGCACGCGCTCCACCTCATAAATCAAGAGCGGTGCTGATGGTGTTGAGACACGGGAGAAGCCGTGGAAGCAAGGCGAGGAGTACTACTTACAGAGTAAAGTGGATAGGAGAGGCCAGTATAAACTTAAGTGATTAATCTCGCGGAATTGATAACGCTCTCCTTGCTCTCGTCCCCGTACTCTCTCGCACTCCCCATAAATTACATTATAAGGAGCCCCGCGGTATAATTAATACGCCACTCACGCGTAAGCCATCGCGACAGGGTGAACCGCCGATACTTCCAAACTATTGTACAATACATATACAAGCGTGTATTACGAACAATGTCCGATGTCCGTGTTAAAATTACATGTATCTTAATCAGTCCCTTATTCAGTTATATGTTTTAAAATGTGTTTAAAAATTTGACTTATTCACTAATTCTAATATATTATTTTGCATAAAATATATGTATAAACAATATTTGTGATATAAAGTAATTATATCCAATATGTGTGTATGTGTGTGTGCGCGCGCGCGCGCGCGCGCGTGTGTGTGTGTGTGTCCTAATCGTTGCAATTTTTGTTGATTCTAATATTAAAAATTAGCCAAATTTAAAATAGGAAACATTTTTGAATATTAATTCAAAATGTAAGGTATTTAATATTTACTGAAGATTTAACTCTATCCATGTAACTACAAACAGCAAGTGGTAGCAAAGTATCTATAAAACATATTAGTTTGTTATTAGCATTTATAATTATTATGAATTTTTTATACGAAATTATTGTATAAGAATACTGTACTTACATAAGTAATA